CGCGACTAACGCTCACGCACAATTGTTGCTAATTGACCTCCACGGGACGGTCAAGTGTGGGAAGGTACAGCGAGTCATCGTCAATTGCTTCTGACTCACTCTCCCAACCTTCCCCTGACTCACCCTCAGAACTTACAAAAATATATTTACTCTCACAATAATCTTTCTCAGAACAATCTTCTCCGGACTCCTGCGAGCCACTTTCTCAGCACAAAGAGCCTAGAGGAAAATAACATTTTATTCACTTGCCTGCACCAAAATTTGAGGTACACATAGATGCATCTCACATGGAAAAGTGCAGAGTTCAATGGAATAAGAATCCCACCAATAACCACTTTCATGCAATACAGCAACAGTAGAAGGTGGAGGGAAGTCACTATGGAACATACATATTTGTGGAAACCTCAAAACTGCTTCGCCAACAAAAGTGAGGACATGTACATATGTAGTCTATATGCAGCAAGCACAAGGACACCTACCACTTTGTTGCTGTCTACCAATGGCAGGCTGATGCAAAATTGCAAGCTGACTGTAAGCGATACGTACTCATGATATAACGTTATTATGTTTACGTTTTAGAAGTGACGTTCTGCAATCTGATTGGGCTGCAAAAATCCTACAGCAGAGCACAAATTGCGATCAAGCTTGCCAACGCTTTGTGGGCCGCTCGTGGGTGTGGTTCCACCACCAGAGTACTCCCTCCCTCTCCCTCCCTCTATTCCTCCCCCCTTCCTCCTCCATCCCTCCCTCCCTCCTATCTTCCCCCCCTCTCCTTCCAACATTATAAGCAGTTCCATGTTCAAATTGCCTGTTTTGTTCTCATGTCATATTGCACTTGCACCAAGCTATAATATGCACATAATAACCAGTTAGCCAAGCTCTAGCCATCATTGTAAAAGCTAATCCACACAGAACCTCGAGCTTAGCGCTGGTGGATGTGGCCCCGCCAGACTAGGAGGGAGGAGGGAGGGTAGTCTCGTCCCCAGCTGCTCCACCCACAAGGGGAAGGAGCGTCTGGTCGCTTTTGACACGAAGTAGTATCCGATGCACAGTAGAGTAATGTGATGCATGCGAGGCTCCACCTACAACAAATGTCCGCAGACTACCGATGCACGTGACATTGATTGGCTGTTCTGCGATCTGATTGGATATCTCCATTTTGAGACCCCTTTTTCATATGGGAGGGGTCTGGGCCGATGGAGGGGTGGGGTGGAGGTGGTTAGCACTTGCTCCAGAACATGCTCCATACTGAATAAAATAGTAGGGTGTAAAACTGGATCTACACTTTGGCTGATAAACACACACCGAGACATACAATATTGCTATCCTGCGCTATATGTATATAATGTCCACGAAAGGGATCAACTGTTAAGAACGGCAGGAACTTCTGCGAAGATTGCGCATGCGCTTAAACCACTCAGCCACACCCACTAATTACAACCCAATTACGGGCGTGCGCTAAAACATTAACATACACGAAATACTGGTGTACCGCTCTAAACTATCGCGCGTGCGCTTGTTCATTCTAAATAGTGCACGCTCCGAGAACGACGACCTCCACAGCCATTGGATAGAATCGCAGGGAATGGTGAAACAACGAGATCTAGACCGGATATATGGACCAAAAACTGATGAAAAGATGGATATCCGGAAGGGTGAGGATATAAATCGGATGAATCTAACGGAATACAGCTACATAATGCGGAGAAACGATAGTACAAGACTAATATGAGAAGGAGATGTTTGCTCTGTTCATAGTCCTCACACAGGGTACTGCTGAGCTATGTTCATCATTACGTTATTCAGTGTATCTCGAGCCGTCTGCCCAAACCTCTCTCTCCATAGGAATTCATCCAAATAGCTTGGGAGTTGGTGGGCATGGCATCCTCGCATGCGCTTCAGCTTGGTCTTCACACGACACCAATAACTCTCCACATGTTGAGTATGGACGCCTGTCACCGGCTCTACGAAGTTGAGGGAGTGGTTTACCACACCATGTGCAGCAACATTCGGAAGAGCCTGAACTCTGTATGCTGCCCACTGATCCGAATGGATTATGGTACCAGGTGCTGTGTGAGCTGCAATAATCGGGAGTAGGGTCGCTGCGTCTCTCTTTTGTACCACTTCCATGTAGCCTAATGCCGGTGTGTGGGATGTATCCACTAGCCCAAACACCCACACCTCTCTAGTTGTTGGTCTGCCACGATGGTGCTACAGTGTAATAAGCCTTTTTTAATCAATCATGCTTAATTTTACATTTTTCTTACTTTTGGTTTGTGGCGAAAGAGGCTTTCGTCTATCTCGACCACTGTCTGCTGGCCTCCAAGTATTATTGGTGGACCATTCAAGAGGGCCTGGGAGCAAACTTCCCGCAGCCATTGGTAGATGTCAATGGCTGTATGCTCCCCGACTTCAGCCTCTTCGCAGGCATCTGTGACTGGGTATTGCCTGACCCACATGTACATTAGTATCACCCACTTCTGCAGTGGGAGTCGTGATTTCTCAAAAAAGCTAGCTTTTCTGATGCTCTTTCTTGTATAGCATTGTGGGCAATACCAGCTAACCCCGTCGGACACATCTTCCCTTGGCCGCTCGATCATCGGAGTATTTGGACACCTACATGCATTGCAATATCTCATTTCTTCGTGACTTACATGCTGTAACTGTCTTTATACCTTGTGCAATCCATTGTCGTTGCCAGCAAGTTATGTTGTCGAAGATAGGCAATGATTCGTGGTGTCCCACCAAATATAATCTGCCCAAGCTGAAGAAGAGACATCGTTTGCTTCCTTCCAGATATATTCAAGCGGCGAAAGTTTCCCGCGAGCGGGCATTTTTATCCAATCGATGTGCAGCGGTGCAGATGAAAGACCGTTGCAAAAGGTGGGAAGGGCTCGTTGCGTTGCTTGGTAGAATGAACAAGCGCACGCGCGATAGTTTAGAGCGGTACACCAGTATTTCGTGTATGTTAATGTTTTAGCGCACGCCCGTAATTGGGTTGTAATTAGTGGGTGTGGCTGAGTGGTTTAAGCGCATGCGCAATCTTCGCAGAAGCTCCTGCCGTTCTTAACAGTTGATCCCACGAAAGTTCAACGCGCGAAGAGAAGAGTGAGCCCCTCCCATTATACAGGCAAGGTACGGGCGCACGTGAGCGTATTAGCATGCCTTACACTGTATTCGCCTCTAAACTCACCGAAAGCGCTCGACGAGTCCATATCTGCACTCTCTCTTTCGAAACAAGTGCCACGTGCGTTCTTTTCAATGCGCATATGCACATACGCAGACCAATTTCACTTCAGCCTACACACGCGCACTGCGCTAGCTCTGACAAGCCACACCCTTCAGGGATGACATAATTCTTCTTACGTCACCGATGGGAAGCTCGCACAGGGTTAGTGCCACACCCTTTTGGGATATTCTTAACGTCATTCGTAGGAAGCTGGAGTCGCGTGCCACACGGCGATTATTGCCTACTGAATATTCATTACCGATTACGTTTTGCCTACTGAAAGCTTATTGAGGAGCTGCGGCGCTTACTGAGCATGCGCAGAGTCATACGAGGCGCGAAATACAAACCTCCGTTTCTCTGCCGGTTCTGCATCGGAAGCCGCGAGAGATGTGCGGTTGAACTGAGCGCTGAGAGAGGAGTCGATTGAGCCGCTTTTTGCCAGGATTTGAATTTCTCCCGCGTATCATAATTACGGTATCTATTTTAAAAAGGATATTTTCGTAAAACTACTGTGTTCTAAAGTTATGGCGTGATAACCAAGTAAACAAGCCAATATGCAAATTAGCACAGGCTTACCTGCTTACCTCGACCGGGTCAGCTGCTCTGTGTACCTTGGAGGCACAAGAAGTCACAACGAAGGGCGTTTATCGACTCCCGCGTGCTATCTATTACTGTAGCTAGCCCGTGTCAGACTCTTCGCGAGCTACTCCACGAGTAAATGCATACTATATACAAATCGCCCAGCCCATCAATTAGCGGTACCGCGCATGCGCAGTTCGCCGAGGATTTGCACTCACTTGTACAAGAACACTTTGAATAGAATGCCGCTATAGATCCAGATCTCCAGTCAATGTCCCAGACTTGGCGAGGTCATAAACTTCTCGGTAGACAATGTCAAAGTGAGCAGCGAGGATTTCCCTACAAGTGGCCACCCATCGCTCTGTGTTTGGTCGACCTTTGTACACGTCCTTACCAATGAGCCAATACTGAGTTATCTGACACACAAACTGCAGGTCTGTGGGAGATACAGTGGCTATAAAGTAAGAGGAAAATGAGAATTCTCGCCTGCAATAAATATTTTGTCTCCAGCAATGAACGGTTTATCCTTAAGAAAGTAGTCCTCAATGGTGTCTAGGGCTTTCTTCAGCACTTCAGTTAGCTCAGCAATCTTCTATTCATTTTTCTGCCCTGTCCTCCTTGGATGCCACACATACCCACACAGACACCATACTGTCTCATAATTCGCTTCCATGCATAGAGTTAGCCAAGGATCTAGTAGTGTGCTAACAATATTGTAAAAAAGTCCACAGCGGAGATTTCCGGGAAACCACGCAAGAGCTTCGTCAATTTTTGCCAGAGTTTGCAGGTCCTGCGGATACCAGTGGTTGTCTTTAACATGCAAAGTAGCGAATGATTGCAACACTGAGCAGTAACAGCATGGTATCATTATCATAATAATGAGGAGCTAGTGTCACCTTTCAAACATAGTAAAACCATTGTCGTCCAGACAGGGGACCTTTTTGTATGGGTGGATGGCTACAACTTTGGGATTTTTTTCTGCACCCGGATCTGCACAGAGTAAGAGAAATGAATGGGTTGCACTTTGGAAGTAGCTATAGCTAGCTATGTAGCTAGCTTACCCAAGTCGACCTGCACCAGCTCGTGAGGAAGGTTGTTAAACGCCAGAAAAATCATTGCCGGACGGCGCACCGGGGACCTGCCGTTCTTGTAGAGCTTGAGTCGATCCACTCATCCTCGCGGTAGTGGCTAGAATCACAATGGTTGTCCCAAACTGCGCATGCGTGGCGATGAATTGAAACGAGGCTACCGAAGACAGCGCAGGAGCTCATCTACCGGTCGAACCGGCTGCTGACTGCTTGAAGGAGGTAATGGAGCTTTGTTCTTCGGAATTAGCTCAACCAATTCCAATCAGTGTAGCCGCCTGCTGGCCTCTTTCCGTATGACGCATGTATATACGGTGGCCCGATTCTCGGTGGCCCATCACTTCCGGAGGCGCTTCGGTTCTGCCTTCCACTGTATATACACTAAAGGGCAGTGACTGTGTGAAACAGTTTAGTTAGTGTCGTCTGTAATAATGTTGAAATACATCATAATAATTATTGGAACGATCTTTTATTTTGGGCGAAATGCGTTATCCTCCGGTCACTGGCCCTATCTTCAGGTCTATCCTCCGGTCAATAAAACGGACACCCGAACGCCTCTCTATTTCGCAGTCGCGTTATCATTTGGCGGAATTTACAACAGTCTCCCAGCAATTCCTGGAATTCAGATAGCACTGGACCGTATCAACAGTGATCCCTCATTCCTCCCTGGATACACTCTACATTATACGCTGACAGACTCTCAGGTTCGACACAGCCTTTTTTATACACACCTTCTTTTTCAGCTAAAGGTATTAGTGTCCGGGTTATTTATGTGTATGCGATCATTACTTGTAAAGGGTGACGGATTTTCATGTAACATCTCTTTGTGTTTGCATGCAAACGCCAAAGAATCCTTAATTGAATAAATACCGCGCAATAATGATGTAGATATAGAGTCCGAAATGAACATTACTTGAGATTTTACATGCGTAAACTTCAGATTAGCTTTTTATAATATTATAGGACTCTTCTGGTCTTTGCGGCATAATAACTCGCAGAATTATGGGTACTCTGCACTTATATAGCTAGCTATGGCTACAAAGAGCCCTTCAAGTATTAGAATGCGGGTTCATGTGCGTCCGTGCGCGTCATATATAATAGAGCCTTTTCCTTTAGCGGGTCACAAAATGTTAACTTTTGCAGACGAAATACGTATTAGTATCACCAAAAA